GCTACGCAAAATGTCTTGCAACACATATAACAATTTGTGCTCGACCGCCTAGGAAATAGGACGCTACTAAGGAGAATTACATCTTACCCCAATAACGACCAGACACACATACAAATTGCAAGCACATATAGGGTATAATGCACCACACAAGCAAGTAGTCAGACTCATGCACATGCAAGACATGCACTCATCCAAGTGAGTGGTTGACCAGGCTAGGAAAGCCAATCGGACCTAAGTGATCGGTTGACCAGGTTGGAGCGACCGATCAAACAAAAAGTGATGTTCATCAACCCGGGGTGGACGATCTAGGTGCAAGTGGCATCGGAGGGTCGGGGAGGCCGGTCAAGGTGCAAGTGTTGCTGATGGACCCGAGAAGGCCGATCGAGGTAAAAAGTGGCGCCAATTGGTCGGGGTGATCGGTCGAGGCACAAGTGATACTAATCAACTTGAAATGGCTGATCGAGGAAAAAAGTGACGCCAAATGGTCGGGGTATAAGTGATGTAAATTGTCCTGAGATGGCAGATCGAGACAAAAAGTGGCACCGACGGGCCAGGGCGATCGACCAAGCTCAAGTGATGTCGATTGACCTGGGACGACTGATTGAGGCAAAAAGTGGTGTCAACATGTTGGGGTTGATGGTCAAGGAGCAAGTGATGTCGATCCTCCCGGGACGGTCGATCAAAACAAAAAGTGGCTCTGACGGGTTGTGGGGTCGGTCAAGGCACAAGTGATGAAGATCGATCGAGGCAAAAAGTGGCGTTGACAAGTTGAGGCAGCCAGTGGAGGCGCAAGTGATGCCGATGGGAAGTGGCGGTCGGTCAAGGCACAAGTGATGTTGATTGGCTAGGGATCACCGATCGAGGCAACAAGTGACGTTGACGGGCCAGGGCGGTCGGTATGATGCAAGTGATGTCAATGGGCCGAGGCGACCAATCGTGACATAAGTGATGTTGAACGACTCGAGATAGCTGATCAAGGCAAAAAGTGATGCTGACTGGCTAGGGCGTCCGGTCGAGGTACAAGTGATGTCAACGAGTCGAGATGGTCAATCGAGGCACAAGTGATGTCGATCGGCTCGGGACAGTTGATCGAGGCAAAAAGTGACACCAACGAGCCAAGGTGGCTGGTCGAGGTGCAAGTGATGTCGACGAGCTAGGGTGGCAGGTCGAGGTGTAAGGGATGTTGATCAGCCCAGAATGGTCGATCAAGCCAAAAAGTAGCGCTGACGGGCTGGGGCGGTCGGTCAAGGCACAAGTGATGTCGATCTTCATAGAACGGCAAATCGAGGCAAAAAGTGGTGCCGACATGCCAGGGGGCCGGCCGAGGCGCATGTGATGTTGTCGGCCCAGGACGGCCGGTTGAGGCAAAAAATGGCGCTAATTGGTTGGGGTAGTTGGTCAAGACATTAGTGATGTCGATATGCCCGAGACAGCCAATCGAAGCAAAAAGTGGAGCCAAAGGGCTAAGGCGGCTGGTTGAGGCTCAAATGATGCTGACGAGCTAGGGCGGTCGGTCGAGGCACAAGCGATGCCAATCGACTTGGGGCAGGCGATCGAGGCAAAAAGTGACGTCGACGGGCTGGGGCGGCTAGTTGGGCGCAAGTGATATCGATTGGCCCGGGACAGCAGATCAAGGCATAAGGTGTTGTCGAACGACTTGGGGCGGTCAACCGAGGCAAGGTAGAAATTCAAGATGCACCATGCAATGCGCACACATGCAAATGGTGATTTGAAGCATATGACCATGTTTAATATCAAGCCACAGTCATACTAACGATCTCACCTGGGAAAACTAGGGCATTGGTACCTGGATGTGCGGCATAGCCGCCTCTTGCTTTGGCGAGACAGGTGGGAAGTTTCTCCCCTGGGCTTCCGAGGAAAAAGCTCTCCACGATATCGTGAAATGAGCTAGCGACAAAGCTTTTCACTTTTCATGAACCACTCAAGGCTTTGCAAAGTGAGCTAGCTACAAAGCTTTTCTCACCTTGCAAATACCTAAACATCTTAACTTCTACGAGGAAAGTTGGGGAAACCAAAGCAGGGGGAGGTGGAACTCCAACCCGTTGGGATTTTTGTCCTAAGGCTCACAACATGAAATCACTCGGCTCTGTAAGGGATATGGCCACGCAGGGGACTCTTATCCTAGGGCTTGTTCTAGGAAATCAACGATCTATTACACAGAAAGATGAATGTCATTATAGCATTAATGGCTAATTTATGGTTTTTATTTATCATAATAGTTTGCATAAAATGATGACATGTGATTGATGTATTGGAGAAATTTAGATTTATGATGTGTTTTTTATTTTGTTGAAACTCTTTTTATTATTCTGCTACAACTATTTTGAAAACTTTAGTCATCAAACTAATTTATATTTATAAGGACATAATTGTCTTTTTCATCAAAAAGCATGGCAGCACTATAGATTATCTAAACAACTTCACTGTTATTTCAGAATTAGCTTTCTGGTAGCAACTGTGAAGTTGTTTTCCCAGGAAGCAACTTCACAGCTTCTTCAAAAAGTAATACCCGCCCACACACTCAATCTAAAGCAAACACAATATCATATATCATGAGTTGGGCTTTCTCCCATGATGTAATTGACTTTGAGGATAAATCATCATGGCAGGTCTTTTGAATCCAAATAAAAAAAAATTTGATTTTGTCTGTTAGTTTTGTTATGAGGTGTCTTTGAATACGATTCTCGTAATTTTTTGCGCATTGAGTATAATTTGATTTATTTTAGACCGCTCTTTTCCAATTTATGTTACAAGAACTTTTCTATATGAATGTCTTTGCAACTACTCTTTTTTATTCTTCTTAACGTTTGTCCATGGTTTAGTCTTTCGTTTTTCTTTTTCTTTTTTTTTTTTCTAAACAAGGTTAACCTAGAAAGGAGAATTTGAAAAAAAGAATGGAGCTAAGAAGGCCATACTTTGGTCAGAACAAAAAGGGGCGCAGATAGACATACATTATCTACATAGATGTTTACCTCTAACTATCATCACAGACAACATGACATAGTTCTCAGATGAAGGAGTCGATGACTTCTGTTAAAGCCAAAGAATCAGCCTGAAGTTTGCTTCCATCCATGAAAAAACTTTGAATTTGAACTAGTTATGAAAATGAACCCCAACAACACTCCCACTTATAGCAAAGAAAAGTTTCATATGGAGATCACTCAAATAGAACAAGGGTCAAATAAAAATAACTTAAAATGCTTTAAATAATTATTTAATATTAAAAATAACAAATATTTCTACAAAATTACCGTATGAAGGTAAGCGGAATGAAAGTTCTAATGAAATAAGATAGAAATTAAGTGTGTGAATGACTATCCCATAAAGCTCTCACACTTCAACTAAGTTAGACATTCATTTGAATGGGTTTCAAATGAAACAAACTGTGATTTAATCCATAAGTTGTGTCTTCTTCAATCGCTAAGAGCGACTCATGCACATCTCGACCATTAGTATGGTCCCATGAATAACAGTATCTTTTTTGAATAAAATCCCTTCTATTAAGACAAAGACTTCCATTTCTTGATACACTATTGCAACACAAATTTAAAAAAAAAAAAGATTCTCTAGTTAAGCAAATCTATAGCAATAATTAAGCATAGATCAAACATTCTATTTGCAAGCGGCCTTTAAGCCATTTTAAAAAGAAAATGTATTTACAAAAACATTAAACTTCAACATCATGTCTACAAGTGTAATCACAAATTTTGATACTTGAAACCAATCCTCTATGTTAGGAAAAAATATTACATCAAGACTCCGCATGTAGAATTACATGCTGAGTCTAATGAAATTACGCCGTGGAGATGATCGGTCTGGTAACACAAGGGAATATTCACCTCGTGTTATTTCATGTTATTCATGTGTTATTATGTTCTGAGAATATTCCTAGTGTTGTAATAACACAATAACACATCAATAATACTTGAATAACACACAATAACACATGAATAACATTGGATGAATATTCCCTTATGCTACCAGACATATTTTTTTTTTCTACATGACGTGATTTCATTGGACTCCGCATGTAACTCTACTGAATATTCTCTTATGCTACCAGACATATTTATTTTTTCTACATGACGTGATTTCATTGAACTCTGCATGTAACTCTACGTGCGTAGTCTTGATGCAATATTTTTTTCTATGTTAGAGAGAGTTTTTTTTCCTATGTTAGAGAGAGTTTATAAGATTTACAAAATAATAAATTATCACACACACACACACACACACAAACGCACACGCGCACGCGCACACAGATAAATATATATAATTACAATAAACTGTTAAGCCGATCATACATAAGCAAGTAGACAGAGTTGAAAATAATGTGTGAATCAAATGAGTTGCTATAAAATATTTTGGGCTCAAGTCTAAACAAAATATAAAAATTTTAGAACATCTAAAAATTTAAAATCTTTCAATAAAAAAACATCCCTCCGAAATTAAATCAAGGATCCATTCATCACAAAAAGAACCAAGGCAACAATTAAGAGCACAAAATTCATATCATATAATTGTCACTTTTATGTGCATTTCATATCAGTAGATTGAAGCATGTGATGTTAGACATGGCCATTTACTCCATAATATCAAATTTATAAAGTGCACCAAAACACTACTTCCATCTTCTAACTTTTAATTTACATAAATTTATCTGAATATTTACTTGAAAATCTGATTAACTTTCATTTTCTTAGTAATATGTTGTTAGTCCTGATTCCATATTTTAGTAGGCTATAAAAAATTAAGCTACTTAACATCAATCATATGAAAATCTTTTCAAGTAATAATATGATCTTCCAAACTAAATAATAATAAGTAAATAAGTGGTGAAAACCTGCTAGCCATCAAACTGAAACCAAAAGCTAGAAATGACACAAGGTTAGAACGGCATAACTGCAGGCCCCACTGCAACTTGAATAATACATAGCACATTTTGCCGGATTTCAAAAATTCACAACAGTAAATCATCAAAATAGCGAAAACTCAATTAAACTATACAAAACTTACCACTTCATTGATCATGAATGGATATAATTACATGATGAACCTTTTTTGCAGTTGCCATTTTCATGGAACTCGCATATTCTTCGGTGTTCTGGATGAGGTCTAGATGGCCCCTCTGCATTACCGGAAGGCATCCAATTTCTGGACTGCCTTCCGGAGCCATACCCAGACCCAGTGCCACGAAAATCACCATTTCTGGAGCCAAAATTCCTTTCTCTAAACTTGTCGTTGCGGAAGGTTGAGTTGCTTGGGTTTTCTTTCGTTGAATCCCAAGTTGAGGTTTTGCTTTCATGACCAATCCTTGGAGTGTTGATTGCGCCTGTATTTACCTGGTTTGGAATTCCCCAGGCATTTTGATTCATATTCCCTACAACAGGTGCAGGCATAAAAACAGGATTTTGGCTTGTATTCCCCGGCAAAGGGGCATTCCAAAATGGATATGAAGCAACATTTCCTTGTGCCACTGGTCTGCAGCCATCATTTGGGATGGTGCTAACTTGTGGAGCTCCCCAAACAAAATTTGAAGATGCATTTCCTTGAGACGGAAATGAAACACCTTGTCCCCAAGCAAAATTTGCATTTGGTGGTACTACCCAAGGCATGTTCATGTTCCCCTGTGCCATCATTCCCCAACCAAGATTATTTGCAGCTCCAAAGCCACCTTGTATTCCTGAACCACAAAGGAAGTTTCCAACTGCAGCTGCCACGTTACTAAAATTTTGAAATTGATTGGCCACTTGCCAACTTTGGTTGTTAACTTCTGGAGTCCCAGCACCCCAACTCATGTTGGGTGGTTGAAAAGTTACTGCACTTGTGCTATTGCTCAATTGTGAAGATGAAAATGGCTTGGAAACATCAGATGAAACTAGCAGTGTGTTTTGGCAGTTAACTGAAGTAGAAACACTGGTACTTAAACTGGAAAGCACTGTAGTCGAATTCAAATAAGGTGTTGACTGTTCTCTGCCCCTTGCATCATTAGGCACATTCCAGTTACCTGAACCGACAGTCTGAGGAACTAGATGATTAGGATGTGCATTTTGGGATTGAGCCTGATCACATGTATTTAGTGGGTGCACGGTGGCAAAAGAAGTGCCTGAATTTTTTGTGAAAGAGTTGGTATATGCTGACTGTAGAATTTCAGGAGCAGCCTTAGGTAATGTAGAAGCATCTGATCTCTGAGGTGAAACAGAATCCAAAGCATTAGATGCTACTGCAGACTTCACATCTAATGCTCCAACCTTTTGAAACCTTGTGTGGGAAAGATCACATGGAGGTACTTGTGGCACTGTATTAGACTCTGTACTAGAAGTACTGTGGTCAATCAACTTATCTGTCAACTGAGATACAGCATGATTACTGCAACTGTCTGAATTAAGAAGAATAGCTAAGTCATGCTTCTGAGTAGCATATCCATCGAATGCTGATACCTCACCTGCTACGTCAGTCCTTGGTTGTATATTATTCCCTTTAAGAAAAACACATTAGTCAAGTAAAAGTTCTGAGGTGCAAAGACGAAAAATTGTAAGAAATTCAATCCCTTACCATGCATGGATAAAGTGGTTCTTCCAGGAGTTGTGCCAGGTTGTTCAAGAAACTCCTTGCCCGGATCCATTTCAGATGGAATGACTGCAGGCTGATTATGCAAGTCAAAGGATACCTGTTGAGTCGATTCAGAATTTACAGCATTCACCACTACCTGTTCATGTATAGAAGTTTTATAAAAATCAGAGTTTCCTGTGCCATGCTTATTGTCCAAGTTGGCAATTAAATCAGTGCAAGCAGCAATACTGACAGACTGATCATTCTGAGGAGCAGTATTTTGATACACCAAATGTGACCCGAGAGAAGACTGGCCAGCAGGAACACCTGCATAATCAGACTTCGAATGATTGCCTTTTTCTATGTAAATCGAAAGTGAAGTAGCTGTTCCATGCATTTTACTCGTATTGATGATAGAAGGGGAACTGGAGCTCAAATCAGCTGAATTCCCCACTAAAGTTGTTTCACTAGTTTTCACAAGTTGTGTGGGCTTGATATCCTCAACTACCCACGCAGGCAGGTCCTTCTGAAAGTTCCCAGCAAGTGCATCGGTTAGCAATATGGAGTCTTCTTGCCTTTCCCATTTTCTCCATATTCCCAAGTTAGATGGGAAGTGTTTACTCCACTTCCTCAACTGCACCATTGAGAATGGCCCCTGAATCTTTCCAGATGGATCTTTATAGTGCCATAGCTTCTCAGTCTCAATGGTATTAGATTGAGGATCAACTTTAGCGGGTAAAGTTTCCAATTTAGGCTCAATTTGGACGACCGATTCCCTCAAAGGTTCTTTATTTTCTGACAAAGGCTCAACAGCAGGTGCTTTTGACTCGATTTTTTGAGTTTCTACATGAATCTTCTCATCTATTTTTTGGGGAAGAAACTCACTTGCTCTTACATCCATAGTCGATTGTAGCTCCATGCTCTGAAAATCAGTATTATATCTAGCTCTACCCATTGCATCGACATTGTTGGAGCTCTTTGGTGCTCCACTCCAATTATAGCCATCTTCTTTTTGTGGGAAAATTAACTCCCTTCCCTTGAAGGTAGGTTCCATCGGATTACCTGCATTTATATTGTAAAATCATAATAACAGCAAAGCCTCCAAGAAGCATAAATCAAATTGGAACTTATGGGGTGCGTTGCAAATATAGTAAAACTAACATAAAGGAACAACAAAAAGGCTTACGGCACCTTCTTTATTTTCATCTTCATCTCCATCTTCCTCAGGAGACTCATAGCTAGGATCCATCTTCGGGTCAACATGTATATCGGGTGCTTCAAGCCTCTTCATTTGCTCTTCAGGAGAGTTAAGAAGCTGCAACTTTTCTACACATTCTCTATGCGTAAAACATAGTTAAGGTAGCAAACAAGTAAAATGAAAACAACATCTTCGCTAAAAGAACTTTGGCTGAAAAAGTGCAAAATAAACCACTAAAAAAAGTAGATGCAACCAACCAACTACTTTGCAGTGCGATTATAACAAAATAAACTACTAAAAGCAACTTAAAGCCAATTGCAAAATTTGCTAAGCATTTAATCACTTTACATCATACTTTTCACCAAACCAAGCAGACCTAAATAAAAAATTTTGATATAAAAAGGTCTCATAAATCTGCATATCACAAAATCAGATGGCACGAAAAAATGCATAAACACAACACTCCAGGAAAGACAGGTCCAATGAATATGAAACAATTGAAATAAAAAAAATATATTAAATAACTAATTCATTGAAATGAAATACAAAGCTAAAACAAGCTGATATAGAATCCTCCACAAAAAATATAATATTGCATTTGTACTGAATCCGCTTCCAACTGTTGTGATATAAGAAGTACATTTGCCTAAGTTAGCCTACACAAATAATTTAATATAAAAATACTTATCATTTTAAAAGCACAAATTAAGGATGTTAACTCTGCATAAATTATTAAATCCAAACTGAAAATATAACTAACTCAACCATTTCACAGAAAGGATATTCCTTTTTTCTTCCCTTTTCACTTGCACGATCACGAAGATGGGTGAGCCGTAATTTTTCACTTTCCAAATGCTGTGAAAGAAGCACGGGCATGGCAAAGAAAAAAGTAAACATACTAGAAAATTCAAAGTGCATATATACATCCTCCAGGCTGTGCAAGATTTGAGGAACTTACATCACTGACCCTCACAGCATGTAGAACCCTCGCTTTTTCTTGAACTTCTCCCTGAAATAAAAAAATATCATGAACCAGTTCAGAAGCATTGCTATACATGATTAGGTTACATAATAACTAAGAATTGTAAAATTAGCATTACCACTGTCAGCCTACTGATAAACCCAAATTTTATGCTCTGCCGTAAGCGCTTGCACTCCTCCTAGAAAACAAAAAGTAAATTAGAAAATTTCAAAATACAAGACAAAATAATTCACACAAATAAAAATAACATAAAGATAACCACAACTGATTTATTACTGCAAATTAAGGTATCAAATAACACAAAACAATAATCAGTAATGCTTTCCAAAGCTTATCAAAATCAACATTAACATATATACAGCATTGAAACATTATTTACCAGCATACATATTTATGGTAACAAAGTTTTTCCAAATCCTTCAAAAAGCATAACAATTGAAGAAGAAGAATTGTTCCATTCTCCTTTTACTCAATTCAGTTCAAAATCAAAGGAATTAGAACCTAATTATCCTACTGAGATTCTACCATGGGCCAATGTTGGTGCTTTGCAGCTAGGTGTGCAGCTTTTTTTTTTCATTTTGTCGATAATTTTAGCCCAAAGTCTATTTGTCTTAGAGAGTTTGCGTGGTTAGTAAAAAAGCATTTATTGGGCCAATCTCCCAAGCAAATAAATAAGTGGACTTCCAAATATTCCTTATAGATTAAGAGGTGATTAATTAAAAAATTTAAGTTTCATGTCCGCTTGATCTAGATAAATTATCATAGATCACTCTTGTTGGCAAGCTTCATGCAGCTGTGGGAAAAGCATCCTTTATTTTTTTACGGGTGCATGCTTATGTAATACTATGTGTAAAACTGATTTTTTTGTCTAAATTGTTCAGCATCAGAGTAGAGCTTGATTATCTCCAAATTTAACTATGAACTCTGGTTGAGCCGAACAAGGAGACTTCAGCAACCAATTAGGTGCTTCAAGCTAAGCAAATCACAGCCAATGCTACCAATCAAGATTTGTATGACTAATCCTAAAGCTATGACTCATCTTTGCATGAACCAACTCAACTATCACTAGGGTTCTACTATGTGTAAAATTTTGATCATGTCTTAAGAAAGGGTGAATTTCTTGTGCACGATAATTACCCATTATTTTAAATTTCACTTGCTTTCAATGTGGATTTGAACTAAAGACTAAAAATTCTTTCATTTTCTCCCCTCACACAAAGATCATTTATCAGCCTCTATACAATCTGAGTTTGACTACAAGGATTGATGTGGAGACCATCAATTATCAGCAAATGTAGCTGCTTAGGGGCAAAGTGACTCACATGATTTGAGGCCTACAAAAAATGAATGAGAACTCATCACGACTCATCTTATCATTTGGTAGTCTTCATCATATTTTCCCTTCCCATCCTCACCATCCTAAGAGAATGGGCAAGATGACAGCTACAGTGGGCATCAGCGATGCAAAAGACTTTACAATAAAAAGATATGCACTATCTAATATGCACGTGTGATGTAGCCCAACATGTAGATCAAGAAAATAAAGTCAAATATCCATTTACATACCTAAACAAGAGTGCCCAATCAAAGAACCATCACAAGAGCGCAATTAAAAAGAAAAATTAAATTTGTATTTTATTAATTAAATTTCATAGTTAGTATCCAATCTTTTTTAAATTTCAAAATTAGAGACATATATGGGCGGACAATAATAAAAAATAATTCAGAAGGGTTGGCACATTCATCCATTAATGACCACCTGCTTTTCACTTCAAAATTACCTTATGCTTTTTTGAATTTAGCTTAATAAAAACTTTATAAATAGAGTTAGTATGTAATGACCTATTTTATTTGTTGAATAAAATATTTGACTAATTTTCCTCTTTTTGTTTTGTGCCTAGTGGCTTCAACTGTGCCCTTATTGTGAATAAGATTAAGTAATTAACTTTTTTCTTTCTTTAGTTATTTACTATCCCTCCATAACACCTATTATGAAGTACTAGATATGATGTTTGTATATTAGGAAGCTTGATTATAAGAAATCTAATAAATAGGAAACCTACTTTAGAGATCTAATTGCAGGATCTTTCCTTTATTAAAAATATTTCTAATCTATAGAGATTGGAGTATATATAAATATATAACATACATTTTCAATTAGCGAATAAGAAAAAAAAGGAAGTTTTCCTTCACATGGTATCAAAGACACACATAACTTTGTCTGCTTCGCCTTCATCCTAAGATGGGATTAGGGCATCAATAAGCAATGTCTGCTTTGTTAGGCGTTGTTCGCCTTCAACATGTGATGGGATTCGGCCATCGATTGACAATGCCTGCTTCGTCATCATACGTTTTGTCTAGGTTGAACAGCACTATCCGCGTCGGTCTGCTTCATCTTTGCCAGATCGGTGTCTTCTTTGGCTGCTTCTTTCAGCTTTGTCGGCCTCATTTGGGTTTGTTTGTCTTCGAAGGTCATTAAATTGTTTGTCGAGTCGTTTGTCTCCTACAACTCGGAAACATTTGTCTATAGTTTTCATCTCACCCTTCAACTCATCCTTCAGTACTAATTCAGTCTCCTTGAATATTTGGGGACAATCATGATCATGGTCATGAGACAAAAATATATTATGACGATTTGGTTTCATCAACATCTAAAATTATGGATGAAAAATTAAATGGAATTCAAATGCTTTTATTGGAAAAAAACTGTGTGACTCTACTTAAAAAGTATTTCACAAGAGTCACCTTAATGATAATCTCCCAGCTGAGACTAATTTAAATTATTCTGAGTGAATGAGAGCTGATGTCATGTTATTCATACAAATATAAAACTCTATTTAACCTGATCAAACTCATTCTGACTTTGTTAAATATGCAATGGATGAATTGGCAATTGTGTTTTTTGGGAGATAAAATATTTCTCGAATCTTTAATACATGTAAATAGTCTTATCGAGTTGAACAAGACCAATCACTAACACATATCACATACACTTTAAGCATTTTTATGAAGAATTAAATGCATTATTTTCCTTACAACAACCTAATGCTCTTGCTAACCAAAAAAAAAGAAAAAAACAGATTAATAAACCTTAATCTAAGCACAGTTATGGAAATGAGAGTCAAGGCTCGAGGGCAATTTGCTACTACTGCTATGAAACAGGTCATATGAAAAGAACGTGTCAGAAGTTGCTCAAATAAATCAAAAGGGTTATGGGTAACAATCAGGTCGCATGGTCACTATTAATGAAGCCTCTCAGAGTTGAGACTCTCTATTTCTGCAGATGAATATTTTAAATTCATCTAAATCCAAAAAGTATCCAAGAAATCTCCGTCTATCACTACCCTTGCTGAGTCAAATGACAATGAAACTTGTCTTTTTTCCTTTTCCATATAGTGATTTGAAGCTAGAATTCACCTTTTTGTCAAATGACCAAAAAATTCTGATGGCTGAACTATAAAAAATTAGCAGTTAACTCAAAAAAAATTGATAGCATTATCAAACAAAAGGTCCATGCTTATTCAGCTTGGCAAAAAACCCAAGAGAACAAAATAATATCAACTAATTCAACCAAATTTACCTCTGTGAAGTCCTGATTTGAAATGATATCAATAGTTATTACTTCTTTCTTGTCTAAATTTATAATCTCAAGCATCACATCTGTCGCCCTTTTCCCCGTTTTGTATTCCTCAGGTGCTTTTCCGCATCCTGAAAAAATAGAAAGAGGATAGGCAAATCTATGTTTTGCTTAAGATATCAATAAGAAATAAAATAAAAGGATAAAATTTGGATATGTAAATAGTTGTAGGTGTGGGTATGTGTGAGAATCGGGATGCAGTTACACTCACCAACCACTTGCACTAACCGATAAACTTCTTGTTTTTGACTAGAAGCAGTGACCCTAATTCTCACAAATGATCCAAAAACCTTTTCACTAAAGGTGCTCATGTCATCAAGAAGCTCTTCCATCAAAGAACGTCGCAAATACATCATGTTTATGTTGTAAACATCAATCGCTGCATAATCATAAAAGTTGGCTTGTAGCTTGCTATCCACTCGTTTCCATGTTATACATCTTTTATTTGTAATCATCAAATCATTGATTACTTCATTTCCCATTTCAATGAGATTTGTGTCACCTCCTTGTTTTTCATCTGACTCGGGTGATGAGACCTTAATAAGAAAGTGAGACTCGATAAGCTTCAGCATTTCAAAGTGTCCAACGCGTGATTTACCAAATAGTGCTAGTAGCATTTTATCACATATGATTTGGCTCCTTCTTCGTGGATCACGAAGTTTGTTTACCTTTATATAATCAAGTAGAAGTTCTTGAACGTCATATTGTGAAAGGATACCCTTATCACCATTTTTCACATGTGACACGAAAGCCAATAGCTCCTTTGAAGCCCAATTATCATCCTCAAGGGCAGTTGTTGGTCCTTTATCCACATCTCCAAGCAAGTTCTCTTCAGCGGCTCTTCTTGACTTCCTTTTATGTTTCTTTCTTGAAGTTTTTTTAAAAGCAGGAACCTCGCTTTCAGTATCATTAGCTGTGCCCTCCTCATTGACAGTTTTTCTAGACCTCTTTTTCACCTTAATCAATAAGGGGCTCCCCTGGTGAACCGTTGAGAATTCAGTCTTTTCCTCTTTTATCAAACTGTTAGCATTCCTTGAATGCTTTTTCATTCTCTTTCTGGAAGTACTTTCAGGCGGGGACATCCTTTCAATTTGAACGTCTTTCCCGGATATCTCACAGGGAGTCCTTGAAAGGTTCAACTTCTTTTTTGATAAAATACTTTCATCTTGACAAGCTGAGAATCTGTCTGAACTGGCTCCTTGTTCATCATCTGAAGATTCCTCATTCGCAATGTCTATACTACAGACCTTTGATGCAACTCTAGCCTTTGCTATTTCATCTAAGTTCAGTGATAGCTTACCTTTCAACTCTAACCAGTAGTCCTTGAAAAGGAACTCCCAACAGCTACGATCATTAAAATCTACTCCATCCTACACAATTAATCATCAAAAAACATATATGTAAGTAGAAATCATCATCATTGATTGGTATGTATAGCATACAAGAAAAAATAAATGAGAAGAGTTTATTTGAAATCAAATGCTACACCAAAATATAATACTCCACAAACATGAAATTAAAAACAACATAAATAAAAGTATGAATGCCCTAGTTAATCCCATGAAGCATCCATTTTCACAAATGAAGGCAAGACTTACTTTGAAAAACCACAAGAGAAGTTCAATGTTCTCCTAAAATTCATAGCAATAACAGTGATGTCAAAAGAGCACTTTTGAAGTGGAGCAGTTCGATAGGAAAACATCATTTTGTGCTCTACTTGAAAGCATGTCGGCATAGTGATGTGCATGTTTAACGCTCTTGGCTTGTGGGTGCAAGTCAGAAGTCAAAATGCGGTAAGTTATTATTTTCGGCTGCAGTTCAAGATGTTACTATTTTGTTTTTAATCAGCTACAGAAATTCTCTCTCATTACACTTGGACATTCTCCATCACATTGGAATCGCAGACACCAACCGGCACAATAAGAGTTACACAATACGCGCCGAAGCACAACAAGAGCTGAGTTACACAAATGACCTCACACAATATAGATGACCTCACTTTGCTTTATACCTTCTATTATTTCTTAATTTTTACTTTTGAAAATTTTTGTTCGAACAAATTTTTCGTAAAGAAATAAAATATCTCTTTAGTTTTCTTAAATTAATACTAATTGTTAATAATATATTATTAGTTCTTAACTTACAATAAAATGTATCAATTTACAACTATGTTTTATAGAAATTTTTTTAAATATCATGATAAATGTAACATTTCCTATGGCGTGCACTTTGATTAGATAAAGCATGCTCTTTGTTTGTCTTTCGAGCTTCAAATCCAACAAACCCCATTGCACATACATTAACATTGAGTAATGTCATACTGATGCGGTTTAATTCTCTCAAGATTTATCACGCCACAAGAACTTTTCATTCCTTGCTAAATGCTAAATTATTATGAGACAAGTCTTCATGCAATGGACTCGCCAAAGCATATTCAAGCTTATAGTTGGTTAATCTGCAAATGGAACAGTTCTAGATTTAAAGTTATGCAGTATTTTAAGCCCACACCAAACAACGGGTTTAACTTTATGTATTGCCTCCAATGGTCATGCCTTTCTAGAATCTTAATTGACGATTTTTTAAGTAAATTTTTTGGTAACCAATAAATTTCACTTGAGCTTTTCTAGTTATCTTTTTTAAAAGAACACATTTTCATCACATTTTGTTTCTTTTCATGAAATTTGGCATAAGCTTTATGATTGCTGCCTAAAGCATCTCACCAACAACTCACTTATAATCCCAATCATGAGAACTTTCAAGCCAACACCCCAAATTCACAAATCACAAAACAATGCTATCATTGTTAATCATTTTCTATGCTTTTATCTGATTCAAACAGAATGAACAAACGTTAAAAGCCAAGTTTGAGCATGAATAATTCACTCACATATCAGGTGTGGAAAATGGAAACCTCAGTTGTTTCTGTATTAATTTAGTTCGTAGTGTATCGAGTATGTTTCTAAAACACTCTCTCATACCAAAATAATATAAGAGTTATCAACTTCCGTATATCACAGAATCTTATCCTCAGGGGGAGATCTCAAACTATAGAAGATAAAGATTGTAACACATCTAGTTTTGTCAACGAGAACACACTTCTAATCTATTTCTGCCAACTCAAAATGATCTCGACATCACCATATTGATTCTTGAACAAAATGTCCCCGAGACCATTGAATCTACTCCTCTACCTGCATCTGCACATGTCAATCACAAATTTATCTAGATTTATGACTCTACGAGATGCACTCAAGTTAACTCAAACAAGAAGAGCAATACTGAAATTGATACAATTTCAAATACCATCTGTGGTACTATTAGTGAAGATTGAAAACATATTAAGTGTTAATTTTCCCAATGAAAATGGCATTAATCTTCTTATTGTTAAAGAATCTACCAGAAGTTACATGACCTAACCTTTACACCTATTGTCTCACGGCATATCACTTAAACGACTTTCTCATCTCCATAAAACTTTCATGTTCTCTATCCCAAAAATTTTAGTTGAGTCATTCTCAATAAATAAATGAAAAAAATGCTATGAGACAGAAGGATTGCATTAAAGAAAAATAACATGTTGGAGATCATCAACAAGCCTGGGAAAAAGAAAATAGTAGAATGAAAATGGGTTTTTACTCTGAATTACAAGATAAATGGTTTTATTTAACGATACAAAGCAAAATTAGTAGCAAAGGGTTATATATAAACATATAAAGTTGCCTATCAAGAGACATTCACCCTGTGGCAAAGATTGAACACGATGACAATAATGATATCTCAAGCCAACACTTCAATTGCCAACTTCAACAACATGATGTTAGGAAAGCTTTATTGCATGGGATACAACAACAAAAACAAACCTTTATCCTACTAAACGGGGTTGACTACGTGAATCCTTTTTCTCCATTGTGTCCTATTTGTGTATCATATATATATTCTTTCATTTAAATGAAAACAGGAACTCCATAGGACACCATGGAGCAGAAGGATTCATGTAGCACCTAGTGGGATAAAGGCTTGTTGTTGTTATTGTTGTGTACCAAACTTAACTCATTTTTAAAATTTTCCATGGTGTGTTGGTGTGTCCCTTTGTTCATTAGCTAAATAACCTAATATTAAAACCCACATCAACATCTCACGCTGACAAAACCTTAAACCTAATACCAAGTTTAATATAGGATGCAGATCTAAGTAAAAGTAAAACATCATGCAACAAAAATGTAAGATTTGCATGACCTAAGCTATTAAGCCTGAGCAACCGTTGATTATAATTCATGAAAACCTAGAAGTAACAAAAGCCAATTCAAATGAAAATATTATAGCTTCGCACTAAACATTAACTTCTAGAAATGAGATTACAAGGAGGTACACATGATTAAAATTTATGCAATCAACGGGAATCGAGATATAGAAAATACGATCATACACCCACTTTCAAACCAATAACTGGAAAATCTAAAAGGAGAGGATAAGAAAAAGAAACACCAAGAGTATTCACCAAAAAACATAACATGGCATGCCTGTACAAAAAGATAACTTCTCCCAAATGCTTGAAATCTCTTAATCAAGAAATTAAATACAAGAAAAATCAAGAATTGCTAATGATTTTAAAAATCTTAAACAGCAGGTAACAAGTTCTGAACATGCCACAGACAACATTTATATTTACAAAAATGATTCAAAATAGCTTCCACAAATCGTAGAACTGCAATCAGATTCTTTAGAAAGCATAATTAGAGGAATTGGCTTTTGACAGAGTGCCACCAAAGCCAAATGTTTACAGCTCTTGACAGATTTAGCAACAAAAGTCATGAAACAATAGCAATAACAGAAAGTAATGGATTCATAGTGCGCAAAGAACAGTTGATCAATAAGAGAAAAAGTTGATGAATGGGAGGTGTAGTACAACAACAGAGGAAGCCCGTGAATCATCAACAATGAAGAGAAGGAGCCATGGATAGCAACCTTAACTAAGTGAAGTCAAATAGAGACCTCAACAAAGACCAAAGAAAAACCCAAAAGGTCTTGATATTAATTATAGCATATCATTCTAGACATGCGCATACAGATGCCTAACATTTTTTTTTTCAACTTAATACTATAAATTTCATACTTAAGTTGATCATCGCAATGCAAATAGTCTGCATTTTCAAAGATAGTAGGCATTTGGGCTCTCATCAAGGTAACCTCCTTCAAGTAAAACTCCTTTGAATAACAATTATGAAGCTATACAAACATACCAAATAAGTTTATCTGTTACCGAGCAGATTAAAAGTAGAGTAAAACACATCTGCTCCACCTCAATCAACATTATAGAAACCTAGCAAAACCATTTCTTACCTCATGCAATCACTACAGAAAAAAAAGCCAGAACTAATCACAACAGAAAAAAGAGCCAAAGCTAACGGAATTACAAGTGGACTCAATCCATCAGAAATTAGCTGCGATTTTTTTGCGACGGAATTTTCCATTAAAATTTTCCAACAGGCTTTACTATGAAAACTCAGCAGGTTCATTTATTACTTGAAACCAGCAGAATTTTCAGTGGTCCGATGAAACATCCGCCAAAATGTTTGCCGAAAATGCCTATTATATTGAGCCCAACGAAACCCCATTCTTCCTTTTTTCTTTACTTCTATGCTCTGTCTGCTTACACAGTTCCCAACGCCATGCTTCCTTTTTTTCTTTACTTCGATGCTTTGTATGCTGACACAGTTCCCATCGCCCTAGCACCTTCAAAACACACCCAAACAGTAAATTTCTTCTAATTTCTTTATAGAACCAAAGCTCATCCGCTATTTTTTAGAACTATCAATTTGAGATTTTATCAGTTAAATTTTATGTTCTATCAATTTGAAGATTTTGATAAATTATACAATTTCTTATATGAGTTTTAAAAATTTGTTTGAAATCATCTATCTTACACTATATTTGTGTTAGGGGGTTAGATCTATTAATCTTTAGCTTACATCTACACAAATTTAACTAAACCCTATGTTTAATTTCTTCCCCAAGGTTAAATTCACTTAACAAAGTTTTATTTAATTAGTAGTTCTTGTTTATTTCCCTAGGTTAAATTCGCTTAAGAAAGTTAATTTACCTAGAAGTTGTTAAATTCAATTTTATCAATATTTTTTTAACCCATTAACAAATTCATGGTTAGTTAAAGTTCCGATGTTGTGATCATCTCAATTTTTTCAATGGTATGCATTATTCTTCGTACTCTAAAACCATCTTTTATTCCACCTAAGTGCTTGATTGTTGGGCTTAAATGCATAGATACGCAACTATTAGGTATTTAAATTGATAAGTTTAAACAATTCAATGTATTCATATGCAATTTACAATCAAAGGTTAAAATCTTATTGAG